ATACTTATGGGATCTTCTTATCTGGCTACTTTTTCCATGGTACTTGTAGGAATGGACTTCTTTCTGAGACCTCACTGTTTCCATTAAATTTAGTTTAAAGTGGCTTACTGGTTATGAAAATAAAAAGGAGGAGCTGAATGACGTCACCACCTGAATGTGAATACAGGGGTTATGCACATGTGCTGCTCACAAAAGCCCTTTTTCCTTAGGAAACAGAGCAGGTAAATTTTTGCTGTGCTGTTTCTGAAAAACTATGGGCAATTGTGGTTTGTATTTACCCAAAAAATAAATTACTTCAGTGAATATAGTTGATGTTGCTTTACATTTCAGATTATCATTTAGCAACAGGGTGAGTGGTGTATGGCATACAGCAGTGGCAGTGTCCTCTGTCCATTGGTGTCAACAGGCTGTGCAGGTGTCAGAATTGGGGTCGTTTGCATCTGATCCCTTCTGATACCTGACTGAAGACCAGAATTTCATAATTCACTGTCAGAGCATTTGTTTGAAGTCTTTTCTGGTTCACAGTGAAGCCTTGCCACATGCATTTGACAGAACAGACTCCAAACAAAGAAAGGTTGACACAGTAAAAGGCAAATTTTCCAGTACACTTATCTTGAAGTAAAGCATCTGGTATGTTGATTTTACAGGAAGGGCTATAGAATATAACTAATAGGATTTGTAGGGGAGGTAACAAGCAGAAGCTATTGCGATTTTTTATCTATGTAAGTGATAATGGGCAATTAGTGTTATTTGTGCTATTCTTAAACTGGATTTTTGTAGAGTTTATTCTGAGAAAGTAAGGAAGAAAGAGACAAACTGAACAAAATTGTTATTACATTCTAAATATCTGTTCAAATAAATTGTCATTTGTTTCAGTGACCAGCAAAGTTATTAAATTCAAGATGAACCACTTATGCTTCAGGACTTAAAATATGAAGAGAAGCATGCACACAGTGTACTTTCATGTTTTGTTAATGCAATAACACAATACAGAAGACATTAATTACTTTAAAAGTGTTTTGCTAGTCTTGCGTTTCTGTGGTTAGAATAACCACTGAGTTATTTCTCTGCATCCTGGATACCTGGACATTTCATCAGTGGCACTACAGCACAGAGACATTCCTGTGATAGTCTTTGCTGGAAGCAGTATTCAAGTTTTGCATAGCAAGCTAATGTTTATTGGTTATGGAAATACTTAGATTAAGAAGCTACTTAACTATCTACCTCTGTCTTTAAAATGGCTTTTATAACACTACTGCCTAATAGTAGCTTGTAGTATGCAGGTTCCCAGGATGCTGTTTGAATGCCACCTGACAAAAAACAAAGTTTAATTATGTTTGAAGAATAGCTGTGTTTTGCTATGTGTAAGCTAGAGTGCGTGGAGACAAATGACATAATTTGGAAGAAGGTTTGTAGATCCTGTCAGATTTTTAGAGAAGCCTTTTTGGTTGGTTTCTAGCACAATACAATGTTCTGTTATGGAAAATCTAGATAGGACTGGTTTTTTCCTTGCAGTGGGGTTAGTATAAAGATCCTCATGTATATCACATGGTTCCAGAAGGGTATGGGAGTCTGGGTGAGGATCTGTCAGAACCAGATGAAGACCTAATTGAGAAAAAGAAAAGTACATCAGTAGTATTATTAGAAAGCTTTATATTCTGAATGGGACTGGAAAAAGGGACAGGAGATCTGCTATTCCTATCATCTCTACAAACGTCTGTTAATGGATTCCACCTTCCCTTTTTCGTGTTTTGCTCCTCATCATATATAGATAGCTTTAATTTGAAATGGAACTTTTGGTTCAGTCTACTATCTGACATTATCCTACTAGTAAGAGGTTTTCAGCCTGTAAATGTTAAGTGTTTTCCTCTCAAATGTGGTTTAAAATTCTTGGAAGTGTATTTCTGAAGTGTTTCCCTTAATAGCTTTGAGGAATCTGAGCTGATTAATTTTTTTGTGAGTTAACTCGTGGCCATCCTTTGTCTTTTTGTTTAGATTAGAGGACTTTTCATTTCCTCTTCCAGGAGGTAAATACAGCACGCTGCTTGTAGATGGAGAAATGGAATGGTCTCAGCCACTATTGGAAATATAAAATTAGTGCTACATCTTTTTAGTACACTTGATGAGATTTTAATTACTGACTTCTTTGAGATACTATAAGAGGGGAAATAAATGCCTGCTTTCTGAATCTTAGTTGGCCAATAAGAGAGTAAAGAGACTTCACTCAGAGCTGCCCGATAAAACACCTTGGTACGTGTTTTCCCTTGAGCAGGTTTACTGCTGTGCCAGCAGTATTGGCTAAAGGCCAGTTTAGATCACTTAAAATATGCGCCATTTCTTCCCTTTTTAAATGTGTAAATGTAAACACTTTCTAGCTATGATGACTGACTGTGGAATGAAACTATTGAGAGAGCAGGGGAGCAGGGAGGAAAAGACACTGGGATAAAAAGGACTTGGTCAGTGCGTTTCACTCTCAGACCTGCTTTGCAGACCGCACTTAACAGGCAAGGGTGTGTGCAATGAATGAAGACACTCAACTGCTTCAGCACTTAGAAAAGGAGAAATATGAAGGAATCTACTAAAATACCAGTGATCAAAGAGGAAAGTTGCATTGTAGTTTTGTTTATTTTAACAAGAATACACTAGGAAACTTTGCCAAAAGGGAAACAGATTAGCTCATTTTTTTGCGGTATTGGGTCGAACATAGTGCAGATTATGAATTCAGTTTCACTGCTAGCTTGGATTTAAGGTGTGCTCACCCACTTAGTTGTCTGCCTCTTTGTACTTATCATCTCCATTATCATGGGCTGTACAGTTGGATTCTTCCCTTCAAATTCATCTATTTACAGGGCAGACTGCCTCTCTAGACTCTTCTTTTAGTTCAGGGAGAGAAATAGCTTCTTCTAGAGGATGAGCCATCCACAATGTACCTTGGGCCTAAAGAGACCAGGTGAATTAGACTTCAGAAGTTCATTTTTCTCTCCACTGATTTAAAGATATTGTGGAAAAACAGTTCACATAAGTTTGTGTTGTAGAAGTCTAATGTTGGAGTTCAGTCTGATCTTGACTGTATTATGTAAAAAGTACTTCAGTAATAACAACATAATGATAATAATACATATAATGTATCAAGTATAAGCCTGGAAGCATACAATTTCTGTCAGAAAACTGTAATTGGGCATTATTGTGAAGGCATAGGCTGATATAAGAGGTAACCTTGACCCCTTGAGAAGACTCCATTGTGTATCATCTACCTGGTTAAAAAAACGCATGCACACAAAAATACACACATTTATAAATCTATATTACTTTTTACTTACTAAAACTGTAGTTAAAAAAAATTAGAGATATCACTGCCCAAATGTGGCTTTTTCATTTGTTACTTACACTGTTTTTCATTATCTGCAAGAAATGGTGTACTGTTAACTGATTGAGAGCAGACATCAATTTGATAACAATACATTTTTGCAAATATGTTAAGAGGGTGTCTGTTCAGGTGATGCATTTTCAAAGCACTGGAGTACAAAAATATACATTTTACCCAGTTATTTAGATAAATGTAAATTCTGCTGGAAGAACTGTTGTTCAGAGAGGCTTTTCCATGTTACATAGTGGAACTGTGAGGCTGTGCACTGGCTGAAATTATACAGATATATCATACTTTGATGCGTATGCAGTTTTTCTTCTTTAAAAAGCTATTTTATTGCAGTTAAATTATTGTAGGGATATGAAAAGGTATAGTTTGCTCTGAATTTATCCTTAGAGGACCAGCAGATCATTGCTTTTTCTCTGAAATTAGATAGAGGGATCCAGATGGCAGATTTCAAGCCCATCAGGTGTTTAAAATATGCCCCTCAGCTAAAAAGAGGTATTATAGTTAAATCTGTCATGGCCTTTTTATTGCTCTGTGGTATACTTGACAAGTGCAGCCATGAAAGAGAGAAGCTACAAGTAGCCCAGTCAGCCTGAAGTGGAGTAGGTCAGTGGTTGGTTTCTTTAGCTGCCCCAGGGAGTTTAATGGACATACAGACCTGGTTTATGGAATCATTAAATCCATCATAGTGTAAGCTCCCATGGAGGCAGTGAATTGTTTCCATAGTTTCTTCCAGATACTATGGTAGGCATTAGAAAAGTAATGTAAGTGAAACACGGAGGCTTGGAAAAAGGAAACCTCCCTTTCCAAACGAAATGAGAATTCCACATCCTTAAGGACTGACTCATCAGTCATAATAATAGCAATAATAAAATGCATCTCGGCTGGTGCCTTGCACTGCATTTCTCTACTGGTACTCACTCAGAACTGTCGCATTAGGCTGAGTGCTGATAATTTGTATCCCAGAATCCTTTCGTCTGAACAGAGCAACGTCCGCACTGTTTACTTTTGGCAAAGGAGAAGCACTGCTTTTCAAATCACTTTAAAAAGCAATATGGACATTTCATTGCATCTTGACAAGCTGCTGCTAATTATGAAAAAAAAAGTAACCTGTTTGTGTTCATGTAGTAACTATAAGTACTTGCAGTCAAATCTACTTTCAGCACATGATTACAGACTGATTCAGAGAAAAGGATATGTCTAGTTTATTTATTTGCATGCATAAGCAGATGTTTATATAGACACTGATTTGGGAAGGCTGATGCGGTTTTGGCTTCTTTGCTTCTTCTTGCTTCTTTCTTCAATTAAAAAAACCCCAAACCACTACCAGATAAGGCAGGTGCTCTCTTTGTTTCTTTATTCTATGAACTGTAGGGAAAGTCTGTTAGCAACAGACTCCATTTGTAAGAGAATAGAGCAAAACCTTTATTTAGAAGGTTGTATGATCATAGTCCTGCATAATCTCTCTTTGATAGCTCTGATGAATTGTAAGGGTTATTTTTGAGAGTAAATGTGCATGGCTGGAGTGAAGTGCCATTAGTGATACCCCTTTTATGAGAATGTTACCCTGCTAGAAGGTCATCCTGAGTAAGCTGTGCTCATATTTGAACTCTTCTTGTGATTTCAGATTCCAGAGAGGTGACTACCACATCGATGTCTGCATCAATGACTACCTGGATGTGTTCTGCCCTCACTATGAAGACTCGGTGCCAGAAGATAAGACCGAACGCTATGTTCTGTACATGGTGAACTTTGATGGCTACAGCTCCTGTGATCACACTTCCAAGGGGTTCAAGAGGTGGGAGTGTAATCGACCGCATTCCCCAAATGGACCATTGAAGTTCTCGGAAAAGTTTCAACTCTTCACGCCCTTCTCACTAGGATTTGAGTTCAGGCCAGGCCGGGAATATTTCTACATCTGTAAGTATATAGAGATTTCCCATTGTTGCACAGCAGGTGTAAGAAACCCAGCTAATTTTTCACCTATGTGCTGTGAAAATACAGAGGGCCAAATGGTATAAAACACGGATGTCTTACAGTGAACACAGGTTTAAGTATCCCCAGATACATTACCTAGGAATCTAACTGGTGAAAATGATATAAAATCAAAACTTCTTTTCCCATATGGAATAGCATGTCAGCCTGTTTACTGAACCACAGCTGACATTTAAAGTAAAATGTACAATTACTTTTATTTCAGCACTCTGAGGTGGAGGAGGATTGGGCAAGAAGGGTAGTATGGTAGCTGTCCCCAAATATAAGGAAAAACCATTAATCCTTTGCATATGAAATACCTGGTTTTTCTTATTTGCACAGATGAAATATTTTTGTCTCTAGTATTTATAACCCAAGAAAAGTGAGGTATGTGCAGTTTTTCAGTGGTGTTATGGTGCTGATGCCAGTAGTCCAGTGGTATTTAAAGTCATAATTTCTTAGGCTAAGTAATCCTAGTGTGTAGCTAAGTGTCTCCTTTTTTCTGCCTTCCTTCCTCTCCCCATCTTTTTCATGGATGAGCTGTTTCTGTCAGTGTGGGCAATGGGAATGCTCTGGGAGCAGAAGGCAGGCAGGTGAGAAGGCCTGATCAGGGCTGCTCTGGGCACCCAGAGGATGTACAGGAAATAGCATATGGGTCTAAGGAAGTAAAAACACCAGGAGGTTAAAAAACAGCTAAGAGAACTGATTCTCTGACTCCACTTAGCACTTCATTTGTTTAATACTCTCAGCAAACATCTTATTACATCAACTTGTTTTGTACCTGTATCTTTCACTTGTAAAAAGTTTTGACTGCTCCAGCAGTACTTTTTCCTTTTTTTTTTTTTGGTGTTAGACTACAAAACTGAAAGCTTTAGAAGGACTGTAGGTCCCATTAAATATTGCTTTCATATGTGTAGTGTTTCACTGTACTGTGAAACAGTAATTCCAGCTCATTTCACCAGAGAAACTGAGTATGTATGATCCCTGTTTTTCAGCCTCATTTCTTCATCACTGAGATTTTTGGTTTTGCTTTCTTAATCTACTGGGAAATAACAGTCCTAGTTAACTAACTACCTAGTGGGTAGTTTTCCATTCATTTCTTCTTCTTCCATCAAATAAAAATCTTGAGTGGTAGTTTGTCATCAGAAGAACTATGCCTTGTTATTTTGCTTCAGCACAATAATATAAAAAAATTCAAAAAGCAAACTGTAATTTTATTTAAAACTATTTTTTTTTTAATATGGGCATGCAAAATGATGTAAAATCATTAGAGTTAAGTAAATAATATTCAAGGTAAATAAATCTCCATTGTGTAGGCCCAGTCCTACTTGAGTCACTTCAACCAGAGTTCTCTGTCAATCAAAACTCTGATATCAGGCTCCCTTGGAACAGTGGGGGGTATTTTTTGGTGTACTTTTTGTTTTTGCTTTTTTTCAGTTCACTTTCAGAGCTTTAGTAAAATAAACAGGAACAGTTAGGCTAAGGAATACAGTCTTTATCATCACAAGGTTGCAATAAAATGTAGCACAGAGTTGGCATTGGTAAGTGCAAGCCTAAAAAAAAAAAAATAGTCTTTTAAATTTTTTAAAAAGAAAAAAAGATAAATGTTTAATAAAGGTGAAACCAAACATGAAAGTGAAGGAAAAATATGAGCAATCCCAGCTTGAGCTGTCTAGTTATTAGTTTCATTTTTAGAACATACAAAATCCGTTGAACTCTCAAGCAAGACATTATTGTTGAAATACATCCAGATTGCTTATACCTGTTTTTTCTTATTTGTGGTTAAATTCAATATGTCACTAAAAATCATATAACGTTAATGTAAAAATCTATAGCATTCATTTAACTGAGTCATTTAACTGTCAAGGGCTCCCTTCAAAATAATTGTCCCAAAGCGCTTTAAAACTTGAAGAGCTTTATGATACTCCACTGCATGGAGATGGAATTAATTTTTTTGATGAAAAGTAAAATAGCAAAAAATTAGCAAATAGATGTAAAGTATTAGTTTAAACTAACCTTCATGTTTTAGGAACACAAAAAGGGTTTTTCCTTCTTTTCTGTAGGTTTTTTTTTCCTTTATTCTTGGGTTTGATGAGAACACAGCAAGGCTGATGCTGCAGCAGTTTCAGGGAAGCACATTACACTAAGTTAGCAATAATATGCAGACCTTCTCAGGGCACGGTTGTCCATCCTGGAATGGTTTTTTCTCATAGTTTGTAGAATAAACAAACTAGTAAAATGTTATTTCTTGTGTTCTCTTCACAGTTTTAAGCAGGCGCTAGTTCAGGCAATGGAGACCACTTTTGTTACCTTTCTGTATCTGCATGTTGAGAAATTACTGCTTTGTCATGAAAGGTTTCCTTTCCTTTTTGAAACCTTTACCTTCTTTGCAGTAGAGACGGAAGGCTGACTATATAGGATCAGTTTGTCATGTTCTATTTAAGGATTGCAAAATACATTGTGTAGCCTATACCTCTGGAAAGACAGAAATAATAAGTGGCTGGTTAGCTTAATTACTCTCTGGTGCTTTGTCAGAATTCTTCACTTTTTACCTTTTAAGGATGTGGCTTGCCTCTTGCTTTCATTATTTTCAGAAAATGCAATAATTTGTGAACAATCATTGTCTGTTTGTATGAACAGTTCATTTGGAAAATGTCAGTTTTCCTTGTTATGCCATTGCCTTCATACATAGTTCAGATGAACTTGGATCTCCCTTCTTGGCATGTTCATTCTAGGAAAATGCAAGCAAAGAAATCTTACCTGTCTGATATCAAATTTACATTGAAGAACTCAAACATTACAGTCATGCAATCACAAAGTACTGATTAAGTTTACTTTTGAAAGAAGAAAAGCTTATTAAATATTTACAGAGAAATTAACTTTTATTTACTTAGGGTGTGAACAGTGGGGGTGGGCTGGGGAAAGTAAATAATGTATCATGACCTGAAGTCTTAATTTTTACTTAGTTCTTAGCAGGTGCTCACCACAGGTTAGTGTATGCTAACATGAAAACAAACAAAATAGTATTACTACTGAAAGAGAAGCAAATGGAATATAGAGAAAGCAGAAACTAAACAGTGTCATGACAGTGATTTTAATGTCCTTTTGAATGGAACATAAGTTTCGGTATTCAGGTTAACATGAGGTATGTGCATAGTGAGTTAAACTCAAAAGCAAGAAAGGGAAGAAAGTCCTAAAATGTATAATGTTACTTAATTATATGTTTCAAAATGAGTGTATAATTTCCATTATTTTAACTTAATTGTGGGTAATTTATTCTTATTAATGTGCTAGGTATTGAAAAAAACAGCAGTGACAGCTTGGCAAATACACATCAGGGCTGTTGAAATAAAAAAAAGAAAGATGCTACAGACTGTAGCATCTGTAATCTGTAGCAGACTGCTACGGATTACTGCAGAATCCTGACCTCAGTTTCCAAACCAAACTCCTGAGTTGATTTAAGCTAGAGCACATTGTTCTTTTCTTGAAAACAGCGCATCATTGTTGTAGTGTCAAAAGTTGTACCAGTACTAAACTGTAGCATATGTTTTCCTCTGAGACATCAGTCTGGGTATTTCATTCAAGAACTTGGTATTTTACAGGATTTATCCATAAGAAATCTGTGGTATTTTTATCATCTTATCCTCCAAGATTTTATATATATTGTTTATTTAGTCATTTGATCATTGTGAATATTTTCATTTATATATACTTACGTCCTTTTCCTAGAAAGACAGGTAGGTTTGCTCTTCTTTACAGTCGTCTTGCTGCTCTTCTGTTGTCCATAAAATACTGAAGATTTTTGCTAGCAGTTAGCAAGCTTTACATGTAATGTACCTAAACAGAACTTGTGGGGGTTTTCTCCCATTCTCCTTGAGAAAAGAGCTCCTTTCACCTGTTAAATATATTGTTGTTTTACCTGTAGTTTATTTGTACCTCTTTTTGTTACAGTTTCTTTCTAGTTTTATTTTCTGCATGTGTCTTTCTGATTTTATTTCAAAATGCTTGTGCCGTTTCTTTGCGTCACCTTTAATGATGTGTCATTATCATTATGTCTTTGTTGTCACCATTTATTTTCATGAAGCTTCTGATTGTCAATTCAGAAGGTTTTTGGGAAATTGTATTGCTTATGTTCACATCAGGATAATGTGATTTTATGATTTGAATTTAATTATGGTTATAAATAATATTTTTTAAGTTCTTATATTTACAATTAAATTAAGAAGCAGTTTGTAAAGTTGTACTTTCAGTTGTACATGTGCCTCTTAATAACATCCAGCCATCATGTGCCTCCTTTTCCTCATAGATTCCATTCCCAAGCAACTTGCAATGTTACCTGTTCCCTTGATTTTTTAAGTGTTTGTCCCTCATCATCCTTGTTTCTCTGCACTAATTGCTTATTTTCCTGAAATTTCTGATTCTGAGGGCTTTTATTCAAGTGACATTCCACCCTGACAGTCTTAGCTACTGCTTCTGTAGGAAAACTTGTGATTTGCATTCTTTCTAATAATAAATTGTCTCACTTCTGTTTGCTTGTTCCCTCTTTGTGTCGGAAAGTTGTCCTGATTATGTCCTGCTGTCATTTTCCTCTAGCAGCTGCCAGGTAGTTGGACCGTCCCTCTACAACCATATGCATACCTCTGGTGGGTTCTTTCATTCTAAAGACCTTAAGGAAAAAAAAGTAATAGAAAAAATATTTTAATACTCCACCTCTTTTGCCTATTAAGTAGGTATTTAGCTTATTGTATTAAGAAGGTCTCTAGCTAAAGTTTTGTTGAGGCAATAGGTGTCCCTGATGACAGCAAAGCTGAACTTGCTCCCTTTTCCCCTTCTGCCATGTTTTATGTGTTTTTAAGAGTTGAGAGCTTGTTTGTGCTCTTGTTTTTCTTTAGTCTCTGGTACAATCCTCGGTCCTTTCTCTGTCCTGTGCAATTCTGTGTTTAGTG